GTGCTACACTAGGCATCAGATACTACTGGTACCAGGACACAGATACTACTCAGATCCCCAGTGGTGAATCACACCAGAACGTAATAATTTAACAAGAAAATGTAATATACTAACAAATGTAATAATTTAACAAGGAAAATAATAGTTGGTGGTAAGTGCTCTGCTGAGAATTACCATAACATGATAATGTAATAGAGCAACTAGATGGCTACACTTTAGACTGGCTGACCAGGAAATGTTCTCTTTTGGTGATATCTGAACTGAGGTCTTAATGTTCTAAGAAAAGGCCAGCCATCAGAAATACAGGAGCCCAGAAAGAAAAAAAAAATAGATATTGCAAAGAGCCAAGACAGAATGAGCTTGGCCTCCTGAGGTACAAAATAAAGGCTGGTGTGGGTGGAAGATCATAAACTAGGGGGGAATAAGTAGTAGAATATCTGGCAGATATCAGTCATGGAAAGTAGCCTGGGTTGTATTATGAGGGTCAGAAGGAAGCCACTGGAGGGTGTAAGCAGGAATGAGATCTGATCACTGTGGCTGCTAATTGAAGAATAGTCCATAGAAAGACAAGACAGAAGCTGGGAGTCCTGTTAGTTTACTGCAGTGGTTAAGAAAAATGAGGATGATAACATGCTTTCTGATAGAGTTAAGAGAAAAATGGAAAAAAAGGATATATAATGTCTTACAGGCAAAGACAAGACTTGATAGATCGGACAAGAGGGGTGAAAGAAAAAACTTTACGAGTAAATCAGGATATTCCTAGGCCTTTGTGAAATTGGGTAACTGGTGAATTAATTTACTGACATAGAGAAGTCTGAAGAAAAAGCAACTAACTCAGTAGTTGGCTCTCATTTTCATTTGACAGTGCTATTAAATAAGCAAAGACTTGGGGCACCTGGGTGGCTCAGTCGGTTAAGCGTCTGACTTTGGCTCAGGTCAGGATCTTGCAGTTTGTGGGTTTGAGCCCCACATCGGGCTCTGTGCTGACAGCTCAGAGCCTGGAGCCTGCTTCAGATTCTGTGTCTCCCTCTCTCTCTGCCCCTCCCCCGCTCATGCTCTGTCTCTCTCTGTCCCAAAAATAAATAAACATTTAAAAAGAAAATTTATAAAAATAATAAATAAGCAAAGACTTGAAGAAGACAGCCAGGTGTGTGAGTCTTGAGCTCTAGGATCAAGTCAGACTTCTGGCAAAGACTGTTCTCTAAGCCCAATGATACAACCTACTTATTTGGATCTCTGAGTAGTCGTTCTTTAAAAGGATAAACTTTGTTAACAAAGTAGGAGTTAATAGACACAATTTGATAACAATGATGTATATAAACAAAAGGCTTTGTAAACTATGAGCCTCTTTTCATTGATAAAGGATTGCTATTTTAGAGATGAGATTCTTATCATTGATAATTAGAATTATCTATGAGAAATTTAAGTGCAGGGACTGGTTTCAGATTGCCTGCCTATGAATCACAGCCTTCCAACTTACCAACTAAAGAACACTGGAGAAACCACTTAACCATCTAGTGCCTCAATTTCCTCACATATAAAATGGGGATAATATTAACTATATCATGGTATACTTGTGAAGCTTAAATGAGCTAGTACACATAAAGCAATCGACACAGTATCTGGCACATAATAACCACTCAACAAATGTAAGTTAGTATTATTATCTACAGTCTTCCTATATTGTATATAGAAGTATGTTCACACTTGAGTTTTCTAGTTAGATGTTTGGTAAGGAGTGGCATCAAAGATTCAGAATGAGCTAGGGAAGCGTATGAAAAGCACTCCTCAAAAAAACAGGGGCTGAGAATTTGGCAAATTGCTAAAATATCCTCTTTAAAAGTAGCTATACATGTGCCAGTCATTCCTAAATCTCTAACTCTGGCCTGACCCAACCCCGGAGCTCCAAACTCATATACCCAGGTGCCTGCTGGACATTTGACTTGGTAATTTTATAGGCATGTTTTTGAGATAAAAAGGGAAAATGATCAATGTTCCCTTCAGTAAGTAAAAAATCACATGACCAATCCCAACTGCAGAAACTCTTGACTCTGCTCCATGAGTCCCAGATCCATGCTGGGAATGACATTGTCAGTTTTCAGCTTCATACTAAGAAAGTACACAGTTTGGTCAACTACATGAAACCTCAGGTTTTGAATCTGTTCACTTTAGCACTAATGTTTGGCAACTATGATTCTAATACATGTACTGTTTACTATAAATCATTCAAATAATTCCTTAAGATAGGTAGGGAATAAGGAAGTAAGTACAATGAAATTAAATGGAATGCCCGATGCTATTAGATGACTCCTAGGCTCTGTTGCCTGAAGCAGACTGGCTGCACATTCTACAGCAGAGGCAAGCCTCAGTTGTCTTATTCTGGGCCATGACTCCAACCACCAACAATAATGTCAGAAGGGTTATATCCCAGGTGACTAGGACAGTCCCAGCAAAATTCTAATAGCAGGGCCTGTCGTTTTCAAAAGTGTTTAATTGAGAAATTATATGTCTATCTATATACATGATCACCAAGAACTCTGTAGCATCCAGCATGCATGTGTGCACTTACATAGCTAATATCTTCCAAACATCAGGTGCCAGGCCCCATGCTGGTCACCGGTGCAATGTAGGATTCTAGCACGAAAATGTAAGTCCTTAATAGGCTTTAAGACGTAGCAAAAAGGGTGATAAAAAGATGGAGAGCTTCAGAGTCTCTCAGTTACTTACCATATCTAAAAAGACAGGAGACCAGTAAAAACAGTACATTTTCTTAGATAGTAAGTAGTTAACTGGATATGTTAGACAAATGCCATATGTAGTATGTGTCAGTGTTTGGGAATCCGTATATTTGTAGAGTTGGCTCTTAGTAAACATGCATAAAAATTCATGGCCATGTTGAGCTTTTGTTCTAGACACAGATTACTGAATGAAGGACTAAATGCTTCTTGCTCCCATAAGTGTGAATGGAAAACAGATGATAAGGAAATAGGTTTACTTTTTATAAGCAAGTAGCATAGCACACAAAGGAATAAAGGCATCATTGTAACTATCTTTCCTTTCTCTGACTTAAGGTGCTATTTCTCCTTTGACCTTCAAAACAAAATACAGTTCACACATTTTAGGCTGACCCCATTAACATAGGTAGAATCAGGAAATCTGAATTGGTTCAGTTGTGATTCTTCTGACTTAGAAATACGATACAGATTACTTATGCAAATCACCAATAAAAAATCAAGCAGATCTCAAGGAAACTTATATGCTCACTATGCTTAAAAGCAGTTAACAAAGCAAATGTCCCTGATACATAAAATCAATGATTTTCAAACCTTAATCTTACAACTAGAAGGAATCTAAGGTGTAGGGTGACTCTACCATATTACCTTGACAGGAATCCTGGTAACATAGATGACAGAGGCTGTAGCACTTTAAAATTCTAACTAGATCCAATGTTTAGAACTGTTGGTTGATTAAAACGCTTAAAAACATGATCTCCAAGGAACCCTCATTTTACATATCATGATACTGAGGCCCAGGAAAGCCACATAGTAATAGTGGATAAAGTGTGACTTTGAAACTCAGGCACACCTGCATAACTTCTTCCCAGACCTCTTCCTTGCTGTATGTTTCCAAGAACATCGCTGAACTTTTCTTAGATTCTTATCTATAAAACTGAAAGCAACACTTAACTTTTAAGCATATTATGAAGATTAAATGAATTTGTATTTATGAAAATATCTGGCACATAATAGATACTCAATACACATTATTTTCTTTCCTTCTAAAGGTTGACTAACTTGAGACATACAGCTGGCAAGAGGCAAGGACCAAGAAATATGGTCTCCTTCACCACTCAAAAGGAATTCATTTATTTCTTAAATGATTTCTATACTTAAATCACACCATAAAATACAGCTCTAAACACCTCAGCTGAGGTAGGGGAAAGGGTTATTAAAGTAAATGTAGTATTCTACAGCCAGCAAAGAAAACTATTTGTACATTCAAGCACAGAAAGAGATTTCCTAGAAACAAGTTGCAAAAGAGTCAGCAAGTTTAATGGAGGAAGTATTACCCCAGCTGCCTTTTTAAGAATGGCATCTGCTCAGTTTGTACCTGAAGGATGCCTTTCTGGAAACAACGCTAGAACTCTGCATTTTTTAATGGATATTTCACAACACATGTTTCAAAATTAATGTTTGTGGCATATATGTATCAAGTGTCAATCATGTGCAGTGCCCAGTGGACATGAAACTGATTTTGGTTTTGTCCTAAAACAAATTTTAGAATCTGGTAGAGAAGAAAAGCAGACTTTGAAAAATGATTAAAAAACATAACCGTATATTAATCCTTATGGAACCTGAAAAGTTCAAAGTCAATAACCTGAACATCTTTAGGTCTCACGTTCCTCTTCTACTAAATGGTTTAGTTCACAGGATGATCTCTATCTAAACCCCCTCCGGGGTCTAACAGTCCAAATAACATGATGATGACAGCAAGAAAAACCACAGCTTATATTTACCTCGCACATATTAGACGCCAAGTACTGCGCTAAAGTGCATCATTTGTATTATCTTTACTTAATCTTCATAACAATCTTTGCAATTAGCATTATTATCCTTAATTTACAGATGAGGAAACGGAGCCACAACAGTTGTAAGAAAGCTAGAGTCCCGATCTGAACAGAAGCAGTCTGAATCTAATCCAGAAGTTACCCTTAACCACTACGCCCAAACTCCCTGTATTCACGAAAAATCTCTTATGTGTTAAGAAATACATAAAAGGAAGAGCTTGGGGAAAGGGTCCTTCCTGACTGGCAGAACTGAGTTAATGTCACACGGTTTCACGTTGTAAGAAAACTCTCGCACCACTTCCTCTGCGGTGCTCGTGCACTCCCACAGGTAGGCACTTCAGAGGCGGTTAGGGGCAGAGGCTTAACTAGGGATTTGGGATGGGGCGGAGCGAGGTCCGAGGAGGCCCTGCAGCAGCATGGGCAGAGTAGGTACCTGGACTGCTGGCTGCTCCGGAAGGCTGGTTCTCCCACCACTCGTCTCCAAGATCGTCTGCCATCTTCAGGCGGGAGTAGGTCTGGGCGGACCACCAAGAAAAAGCGGACAGCGGCAGTTCTTCTAGCGGCTTCCAAGCCGAGAGGCTAGCGTTAGCAGCACGCGCCGAGTCTCTCTCCAGACACCGTCGCCTCCGCCCCGCGGCGATGACGTCACACCTCCGCCCCACCTCCCCAGCCATTAGGTCTCTCTTGTCGCAGTTTCGACACAAGTACTGATGGGCAATATCTGTCTGGTAACTCAAAATAAATCTTCAGAAAAGCATAAAGTCAAGAAAGCACATAACTCCAAAATGATATTACCTTTTTAAATAACTTTTAAAAGAAACTTTCTTGGTTTTTTCCTTTTCTTCGCCCCCACCCCGAAAAAGCTACTGACGAAAGTGTGAAACAGGATGCTAAGACAATTTTTCCCTGTTGCGTTTCAAAGAACTTGTGCCGCGGGAAAAAAACCGGAGCACGTGGGTATGTTTTCGTTCGTGTGTCTGTGTTTGGGCATCTGTGTGTGTATAGTGTGCTCTTAGGAAACGTGCACGAGGATTCATGACCATGAATTGTTGGGGGCTTTGCTGTAGATTGTTGTACTGTTCTTTTTGTACGATGAGTTAAGAAAATGTTGACTGGCCCGAAAGGGCTCACCCACGAAAAGACGCAAGTGGTCCGGAGAGTTAAGAGTCATCCGTCTCCTTTACGCCCTCTTGTATTATGTTTGTTACCGCGTTTTGTGAAACGAGAGAAGAGAGTCCGTTACTGCTTAACTACTGGTAAGAGACTTAAAGCCTCATAACTCACCCCCGATGTGAAGTGGCAGAGATGGGCAAGGAATAGCTGCTGGGCGCTGAGTGCTGAGGCCTGCTGTAAAGTTAAGTGTGGACGATATTTTTTCAGAATGGTCTGCGTACACAAATAAAAATCACTCGAAAATGTGTGAAATACACGCACTGGGCATGGACTAGTGGTTTAAAGATGAGTAGGATATGAGCCCCCCTTCCAGATGTCACCAGCTAAAGTAAAGGAGATAGAATTTGTAAGAATAAGGATCTAAATTAATGATTGGATAGACTCTCGGAAATGACATTGCCGAAGAATCTTACCTGAAAAATTACCCCAAATCCACCTAGTGTCTTATAAATGTGTTACTGATTAGACTTTATCAGTATGCCTTAAGTATGCCTTACATGCCCTGAAAGGGAAGATATTAGTTACAAATGTGGGGAATGTAAAATAATCTGTAATCTTCAAAAGTAATGTGCCTTTCATGAGAAAATGTAGATGGCAGAAGATTTCAATGATATATGGGTTTTTTGAAAAGGGAAGTTAGATAAATACTAGTATGGAAGAGGAAGTGTTTTGACCAATAAACATATGAAATCATGCTGGGAAATAAAAAAGAGACCACAATGGAATACTGTTTTTCATGCAGAAATTGACAAAATTAAAAAGTCAGACACTGGGATGCCTGGGTGGCTCAGTGGGTAAAGCATCCGACTTCAGCTCATGTCATTCATGGGTTCAAGCTCTGCCTCTGGCTCTGGGCTGTCAGCCAGAGCCTGGAGTCTGCTTCTGAATCTATATCTCCCTGTTTCTGCCTCTCCCTCATTCATGTTCTGTCTCTCTCACTCTCAAAAATAAATAAACAAAATTTGTTTTTTAATCAGACATTACCAGATTCTAGCAAGTACATGCTTCAATGGGAATTCTTAGACCTTACTGGTATGAGTGTAAATTGGTAATAACCACTTGGAAAAGCAATTAGGCCCAATCCTGTAAAGGTAAACCTACACACCTCATGATCTAGCAGTTTCCACTCCTAAATATATACACTTGAGAAACTCTTGAACTCTATAGAATATTCACAGCAGCACGGTTAGTAATAGCAAAATAGTGGAAACAACCCAAATGTGTTTCTATAGGAAAATAGGTAACTACATTATAGCGTCATCATTCAATTAAGCATAGGAAATGAATTAACACGCATAACTCTATGGATATATTTTGGAAACATAATGCTGAGTTAAAGGCCAAGTTTCAGATGCCATTTTATAAAGTTCAAGTACAGGAAAAACCAAAAACTGTTGAGACAAAAAATACATATGGGATTTCAAGGAACAAGAGTGGTAAACACAAAATTTAGGATTTGGTGTGGCCAGGAGATAGGATTAAGAAGAACAAAAGTAATTTATTGGCACAGGTAAAAGATAAGGGAAAAATCCACTTATACAAAATAGACATATTCAGTAGAGTTAAATTAGGTACTATTTAAGAACTAAGAATTCCAGTTCACAACCCCAAATTTCAAATAACGCAGCTTCTAGACAGTTCTGCTCCCTTCCCATGTGAGTTCACTTTCCCACTGTCCTTGATCTTTTCCCAGGATCAGTCTTCATCTAGTGCCCTGGATCCCAACCCCTTTCATGTTGTAACCTCTTCCATTTCAGTAAGTGGCAGCACCGTCCTCTTGGTTACTTTGTCATCTGATTCATTGGTAAATTTGGTGGGATCTGTCTCCAAAATATATCCCAAATCTAACCGTTTAACCAGCCTCATCACTTCCACCACTCAACCTTGGTCTGAGCCACTGTGACAGTCTTCTAACCAGTCCCTCTGCTTTTCCTCTTTCCTCAGTCTTGCTTCCACACACAAGCAGTCAGAATCATTATCTCATTCCTCTTAAATGCCTTAGTTACCTCTTATCACACACCCAATCCCCTTTCACCTCTTTGGGGATTAGAATTTCATCTCTCCTATTCACCACTGTGGCCATAGGACCACAACAGTACCTGGCACAAATAGATACTCAAAATCTACAGACTGCCTGACTGAATTTGAACTTGATTTACTCTGATTGTTTTATTTACCAAACAACCTGATAAGTTTGTTTCCCAAGTCAGCTTTCTGGGCCAATTGCTTCAGGCTGAGAGTAGGCTCATCTTTTCACTCCAGTGTTGAACAAATATAGCCATTTTCTTTTTTCTTCTTCTTTTTAAAAATATTGTCATTTTCTATGGGTGCCATGATCTATAAAGGCTGGAAAGACTGAGTTAGAAGGGAAAAAAAAAGTTTAAAGACTGGTTTGTCAAGGCTCACCGTACAATGAAAGGAGCTTACTTGAAGCCTGGCATTCTTTGTCCTTGAACTCAGTTTATACATGTACTTTTAGAGAGTCCATGAATCCCTCATAATGTATTTAAACTTTTGCATCATATGGACAATAATAGTAACAGCAACAACAGCGTGTTTCAGGTTCTTTTCTAAGCAGTTTTTATCTTAATCATCTAATCATTGTAACACTGTGAGATACTACGCTGGATTGGATATTTTCCATTTACTATTCTCTACCTTTCTGTCTCCTATAAGGCTGATGTAAATCTCCCCTAAGCTCTGATTTCAAATTTGGGTTCAGCAAGCTGGAGGCATCAGTAAGAAATCAAAGGATGAGAGAAAAATGACACCCTATGTTGTCTTCTTTTCAAGGTAGGGACTAGGGTGCCACAAGCAGAGGCCTAATATGCAAAATCTAAAGAGGCACTCACTCTCAGGCTGGCACTTACATAAGTGTGAGAGCAGGTGCCTCCTAAACATTCTTCTGGAGGTACCTGCTTGCTTCACACTCATCCTGGCCCTCATCCTTCCACTGGAAGCCCAAGATTCCCTCAGACTTAAGGGTAGTAACAGCTCCCCACTCTTACTAGTTCTTGGGTTCCATACATCTGTTGTTTTCCTAAATCTACCTCATCTTCACGAATACTTTTACTAAAATCTTTTTGTTTGTTTTTGTTTTGTTTTTGAGAGACAGAGAGAGACAGCATAAGCAGAGGAGGGTCAGAGAGAGGGAGGCAGAGAATCCAAAGACAGGCTCCAGGCTCTGAGCTAGCTGTCAGCACAGATCCCGATGCGGGCCTCAAACCCACAAACTGTGAGATCACAATCTGAGCTGAAGTCGGACACTTAACCAACTGAGCCACCCAGGCTCCCCTAAAGTTTGTTTAATTGTACAACTTAAAGGGTTCATTTTTTTTCCTACCTGGACCCTAACTGGTAGACTTACTACTTTAGTTTAGTGTCCCCTAAAATCAGGCATGGTGTAGGTAGTTTATTTGGGATGTGATCTGGTGAGGGGGAGGAGACAGGAATAAAGGCAGGGAGAATGAGATGAAGGAAGGATGAATATTAAACTGGTTATATCTCTGACTTTTTATCCTCTTGGGGGCCCTGTGAGAAACAATGTAGACTCTGCCTTGGAATTACCTTCAGGAAGGTGAAGCCTAGGGCATTTATCCACTGACTGCCATCCACCATTGGTTGAGGGTTGTCGCCAGGAATTTGAATTTTCAGATACTTCCCAGGCTATGCTGCCACAGAAGAGTAGAGTTATGTAACTCATCATGCTTGGGGTGGAATGTTAGCAACTGCCCAGAACTTTCTCCCCTGGCTGGGCTGATTTCAAAGTGGGCTGAGGGGTACAAAAAGCATCTGCTCCATGTTTGTATTGTTATTCTCTCTATTTTATAGATGGTGAGGCGCAGGGAATTAAGTAACTTGCTCCAGTCACTCATCCAGTAGGTGGTTTCCCATCTGCCTATTGCTTTCATAACAAAAATGACCCGCATCCACTGGACTAGGGAAAAAACAGTATAGAAAAAGGAAGAACTGAATTGAGGATCATCACCATCAATTTGTGACTATGGTTAGGAAATAAAATTGTGAGGAAAAGAGAACCAAGAAATCATTTCAAGTCCTAAAAAATGAAAATATGATATCATCTTTGATGAAACTAGCAAAACAGAAATGAAGGAACAGTTTAAGGGTCAAATGATAAATTTGCTCTTAGAGAAGGTGGAAACAGACAACAAACAAATCAATAGATAATTTCAAATGATGAAAGTACCCTAAAGGAAATAAGCACTGTGACCTGGGTGTAAGGGTTAGTGGAGGGGTATGGCAAGAGTGGAGGATGGAAAGGGAGGCAGGGGCCAGACCTGAAAGGGCTTCTTAGCCATGGTAAGGGTTTCACTAAGGAGGCCATGGGGGATTTTTAGCCTGGGAGATCTGCTTGAATTTTCAAAGCTGGCTAGTGTGCAGGAACTGTAGAAGCAAGACCAGGTTGCAGACTGTGGCAGTCACCCAAGTA